TATGCTTTGATTAAGAATATTGGCAAATAAATAAAATAGTTATATAAACAATAACGTCTTTAGCTAAAGCCTGACTTTCACTCTTCATAATCATCATAGCGTTGTGTTTTATACTGTACTTTATACATACACCAGCAGATAACAAACACGTCTTCATTATACAATGCTGTATGTTTTCCGGAGGCACATCAATATGACGGTTTTACATAAAAATAAAACCGATATTATGTGCCGAGAAGGAAAACATACAGCATTGTAGGAAGCTCTTCCTGGTGAAGACTCTATGACTGTGGAAATGACTACGTCCTAGCTGGTAAAGATAAGTATGAAGTTGAGGCGATTACAGCGCCATCTATTCTATCTAAGCGGAACTGTTTCACTCGGTATGTATCGCACTTCATGGCTAAGTATACATTGCTTCTTCATTATACAATGCTGTATGTTTTCCTTCTCGGCACATAATATCGGTTTTATTTTTATGTAAAACCGTCATATTGTTTCCAAGGACTGGCATAGAGGAAAGTTTTTGTTTCTAATTTCTCAATCGCATCGGGTATATTACTGAAATGTGTTGAGATAATAGCAATATTTGCCAAACACGTATACCTAACTATTGAAATAAGCACTATCAATGAAAAAGTACCAAAATATGCAATAATGCTGTAAAAATAGAATTATATGCATTTGCATATGCAAACATGCAAATGCATATAATCCGATGTCTAGTGATGAAACATCAATAACTTCTAATAACATAAATTTTAGTTGCGACCAATTCGTATCAATAAAAACAAATCAATGGCGCTACAACTTTTTTCAGATCTGGGCCTCAGATTTCTGTATCTGTTTCATGATCATTTGTCAATATAATAGGTAAGTAGGTGATCAGCCTCCTGTCTGACACACGCCGTCGACTTTTTGCGTCTTAGGCAAGCCGGTTTCCGTTAAAGCGAATGTTAAATCAATAGAAAGAAACACCATTGGTGCGCAGCCGGGGATGTAACCTACGACCTCAGGGATGAGTTTCGCACGCTGAAGCTACTGGGCCAACACTGCTCATTAAGAAAGCAATACGAAAATTTGTAATTTACAATGTCAAGTTATAAGGCAGGAAGATAAATGTATGACCAATTGTAGACTTGGCCAAGATCTGTCAGGGTTGAGGTGAACGAGATTGTGATACCATATGAAGTTTATATTGACTTCGGAGGTTCGAATTTTCAATCAGTTGCCACATGCCGATAAATCTAGGGCCCAGAAACCTATGCTTTACTTTGATAGTAATAACTAACTAATAACTATTTAAAGAAAGAAGATAAAAACTCCGCGAAAATATAGGACACCGTGAGTCATTTCTGCCACAACCCTCCATCTTTTAGTCGATATCAACTACAGATAATACAACTTTTTCTACAGCTGTGATACTTTTTGACATTCAACACCTTTTGTCTTCAGTCACCGTGACCAGGCACGCTGTAAAGCACGCGATACGTCGGAAAAAAATTTAATTATGTAACATAAATAAAAGTTAATAATAAACTTAGATAAGGGTGAACGACTTTACCGGATTGAAGTTATGTTATGTTCATACATAACTTCAATCCGGTATAAAAGTGTTTTCTTTAAATGTGTAAAAGTTATGTTAATAAAAGACAATACTAAATAGAGAACTAAAATGTTATTTGCACAGACTATACAGGCTTATTTTGAAAGGCGGCAGACCTAAATCTGTCAAACCACATTTTCGCTATAAAGTTTGACAGTTTGCCTTAAATTCCGACACAGACAATACTGTCAGCTGTATTGAACTATTTCAGCCAGATATTTTATTGGACAAATCAATTAAAAGATTTTAAATCAACGCGTAAACCTTCACCTCTCGTTGTGACTAATAAATTCCGTTGCACTATTAAGGAAACTTGTACATAAGGAAACAACTTTTTAAATTTGGCCCTTGCATTTCCGAGTTCTATGTAAATGTATTTTTAAACGCGATACAAATGTTCTTTAAAACAAAACTTCTGTGACGGATCTATTTATTTATTAACACTTTTTAAATTAAGGAGGCAACGGCCTTGTTAACAAGCGAACTCTTCCAGGCGACCCTAGTAATTATTAAATACTAAGGGTAAATTGAAAAAGTGCATAACTTAATTAAAAATTTAAAATGACAGGTAACAATATAGACTTCTACAATTACAATACCAGAATAGAAAAGGCATATTTATATTATTATTATGAATTTACAGGAATCTATTCTAACTTTCCAGCTCATGGGACACATAAGACATACTGATAAACAAGGGAACACAAGTAAATTTTGTAATTGAATATAAATTGTAAAATATTTTATTTATTTGTGATTGGCCGAAAACGGCTTCGCCATGATAGGGAAAATAAATACAAATAAAAAAAAGTCAAACTAACAGTGTTCTAGTTAAAATGGAATATAAAACGTCCTCTGCAAAGCACGAAATTGTATAATCACGCGAAGTAGATATATAAACTCATGAATTCAGTTTATTGAACCCGCCGAAACAATAGTTTAAAAGTCTGTTGCTATCATTTCAATATAATAAATACATTTATAGATGTTCCTCTAGCATAGTTTTTATGTTACTCTTTATATCTTTTCTACTTTAAGGAAAGTATATAAAATAAAACAGTTTCACATATTTATGTGTTAGGTTAGAGGTAGGTGCAATTATGATATTAACCGCAAATTACTTTATTACACGTTTTCTTATCGTAATGAAACGTAATGTATTCAGAGCTTGGCAGTCAAGATAAATATTTATTTAATAAAAATAAGAACGCATTACAAAACGATAAACTTGTATTGTTCTATTTTTAAAATAGAAAACAATACGAGTTTCAAATTTTTGACAATTAACTCGTGAACGCCATTTGCTTTTCTATAAAAACAAACACGGTAACACGACATTGTCAAACAAAACATTTGACGTCACTAATGTGAACAAAGATTTGCTCATATCCGACCGTGAAGTATTTAAATAAGTAATCAGGTAGCTAAGTACACAACTTAATGTATGAATATTTATTGGTATAAGGTAGAATATATAATTCACACCAAGATTAAGTAACTATACTAATCATAATTTAAAGAATAACTACCTACAATAACAATAAAGTATTGTATTAGAAACTTAACGGAAATTAACAATTTATATCCTTGTTAGAAGATTCTAATCATCGTGAAAAAACTTGTTTTATAACTCCAAATCAATTAATATAAAAACAGAAGAACCGTTTTAATGAACAAAAGTTATTTATACTTCAAATTGGATTACTAATAAGGTAATGTAACGAATTTAATTCAACACAACTGTCATTGCAATGACATCAGTGACAATTGACGTAAAGCGCGCGAAGTGACAATTTTATAATTATTCGAAATTTAAAATCAATTTGTGTGCATTTGTATCCAAGATTGTAGCTACTAATTTCATGTATGGTTCGGGTATTCATAAAATTTTTCGTAATTCAAAAGCGACGAATATGAACATAATTGTATGCCTCTAATGAATTGGACATAATTTGGTCTGTAGACGTCATACCCGAACTTCACATTAGACACCCCTAATGCCTCTGAGAGCCTGGTACCTACAATCCAATTTCAGAGGATCAAATTACATTCATTAAGCCGTACAAAGGGATAGTCCTATTTTCTATGAAATAAGGTCTATTTTATATTTGATTGTAACTTTAGTCCTTGTTTCGGGATTGGGATTTCGACGGGTTTGTTATTGGTTAGGTAAAATACTAGTTGTTCGATAATGTTTATTTTGACATTTTTTTTAATACTGTATACTGTCTTACATTACCGGAAAACACTTATATAGTTCATTTTTATATGAAATAATATACAACAACAAATGCCACATAGCCAGCCATAGTCTTTTACAGATTAAAAAACTAAAGAAAGGAAAAAAAAGTTGTTTTTCACATTATTATGCAAAATGCATCGTAAAATCTGTGCAATTACACTTTACGACTATTTTCCATTCCGTGTAAGATTTATGGTAATAAGTTTCCGTAGAAAATGTTTCTTTATCAGTATAGCGATATGAGATTTTAAAGACCCTTATATACTAACTGTACCGATACAAAATCGGTGTAGTTAGTATATTAAATAAATTAGTCTCCTTTTTCCTCATAGCGTAAAATACAATTTGGCAGAACGAGACATAAATTCTTTGCCAAAAACAGTAACTGATTGATAAAAGGGGCTTTGAGTTTTGAATATTAATAGTTTAAAAAGAGTTTCTATTTCAATATTTTTATCTCTTCTATTTTAATGACTACTACTTGGTTACATCTGGCAGTTAGGAATATGTACTTTAATGACTTTTCAACTGTAGATAAAAATTGTAATAGTTTTATGTTTCAGGTTAATTTTAAATCAATATGTTTTTAAATATCCCAGAAATTGTTTGACATTGACTGTCAAATGTATTTTTGACACCACATACAAGGTACAAATCAATATTTAAACATAGCTATTCTTTATTTAAAGTTTATGAATAATTTGATTGCATTACGTTCCAAATTCGTAAAACGCATGACACGTCAAAATCTACTGTTACTAAGTAAATGTTTACGTTTCACAGAGTATAAATACCATAGATATAAAAACCAATTAGTGTTATTTTAGTAACGCAACTTTTAAATAAGGAACTTAACCACAGTTAACGAAGATTTAATGAACTACCCATTTCCTACAAGAATTCAGAGAGGAAATGTGTTATTTAAAACAATAAAATTTCTCACGTGGAAACTATTCCATTGTTATTTGATAGGTATCTGAATTTAGAAGCTACTTTCTACACTGAATTAATGACGATCGTATTTTTAAATGAAAATGTGCCTATAAATTTAATTCTGTATCTGTTCACTATTATTTTATACACAGGTATGCTCTGTGCCTTACAGTTTAATATTTCCCAAAGTCTCGCCTAAAAGATTTCAACGTGTTAAATTTAAACATAAACAAAAGTAAAAACACCTGCAATAGTTTTCCGCGGATCGCCCAGCATACAGCGATCCCTCATGGCACAACAGAATTTTTTGTTCTCCCTCTCAGCCGTCGCATTCGGCAGGAACATGGATAAAATGGCAACATCCTCGTTACTCTCCCTCGCCCTTCGTATTCTATCTTGCCCTACTGTTTTGGTTGTCAAATGCAGCCGGGATTTGAAGTCATCACTTAACACGTCCGCCGACATTTTAAATGCACAGATGCGCGCGAAAGTTTAACGGAACGCGTGACGACTCGTGTAGGCTTTACGGCTCGCGGTGAGGTACTGATGTTGACTAGCGAGCGAGGCTGTTGATTGAGCTTAATTGATCCTACGATAAGTCTCTGAGTACAAGGAAGTCGGTTGATTAATTGATGGATTAAAGCCGATAACTTAAACTGTTTTCAATGTGTCATTTTAGAGCCTATAACATTTTACTCTTATTAATTTAATTTGCAAATAAACAGTGATAAAATATACAAATAATTGTGACTTATCCGTTTATTAATAGGACATAATAACGTAAAATAAGTTATAAATGCCTCAAATTGGATTACGAATAAAGATAACCTAACGAATTTAATTCAACACTTTAACTGTCATTGCAATGCCATCAGTCATCCCGTGACAATTGGCTTGCTATAAAGCGCGCTAAATGAAAATTCTAAATTTAAAAAGAGTAATTGTCAAATACAATTTTATCCCATAGGAGCTACTAATTTTATATGTGATTCGCGTATTCATAAAATATTTCGTACTTACTTACGTAAAAAGCTACGAATATGAACATAATTGTGTCTAATGAATTGGTGAAATAGTATCTAGAATAGATACTTCGTCCGTGTAAAACACATTTAATCATTTGAATTATGGATATAAATAATACAAGCCCATCAAATATTAAAATAATATGACGAGATTAATATAAGTGTCACGATTAAATCGGCTTCTAAATTAACGGCACAGATGTTCTTGAGATGAGCAATAAATTATATGACGTCATTGCGATTGTCTATTGTTATATTTTAAAGTCTGAATTCTAATTGGCTAACATTTACGGGGATGTATTTTTGTTTAAACGCAAGGAGTGTCAATACAAGTTACCTTTGCGTATTCAATAAGATATTAAATATGGTGATGAAAATCGACCTTGACTTAGGGTAAGATTTTGACTTTGAGGGTAAGAAAACATTTGTGCCTATGTCAAAATCCTATAAGCTTTTGACACATGGGACTCATGCTTAGTCTTGTCTATGAATCTTGTCAGGCATTCGTCATCAGCCAAAGAAAAATATATATAAATTTATATATTTTTTTAATTATTAGCTAAAACCGGTAAAGTATCGATCATTTTTAAAACCCACGCGATGACTCAATCACTTGAAATACCATCATTGTGAGATTCATATTAGGCGTGGTCAGTTGATTTTTTCAAGTACCTAGGAACTAGAAGTACATTACCACCGTCTTTATATATAATATAGCTTTATCACCATCTACAAATAGGAGATTTAATTATACGACATAAATCAAATTTGTTTATTCTACAAACTTATTATTGTGATAAAAATATGGCAATACATAAGCTTCCGTCTAGACCGGATGTAGCATTTTATCCGAAACCTGAACCAACCCTAAATCCTCCTGTCAAAGGTTTTATTTCATACAAGCTATTGCAAAAAAATTTTTTTTGATATGTTCGTTAATATTGTGCAACATTTTTTTTCATCAATAGTTTTTGCAGCGCATGCGATGAAAGATATTTGGGTAACATTATTGTAGTTTTAGAAGGATCCTAATATTTTTCTTGCATTTAAAATAGCCAATATTAATCAGTGATAATGTAGCATTCAAATGGTGAAAGAATTTTTAAAATAGCAGTACTTTTTGAGCTAATTCCTTACAAACATACTTACTTACTAGTCTTTCCTCTTTATATAGTATAGAAATAAAATGAAGACTTATGATTTTATCTGTGGAACAAAAATCGCGCAAGAACCTACAAGGAGGAACAATTTAACGACTAACCGAATTTAGCGAAAACTTTTCGGAAATATTAGGAAACGTCATAACTTCTTAGTGGCTTGAGCGTGTCTCTCATCCTTGAGGTCGTAGGTTACCTATGGACTTTTCGTGTGCACATTCACTCGTACGGTGAAAGAAAACATGGTGAGAAAAACTTTAGACTGCAGACACAGAAGACTGATCTGTTAAAAAAAACAAATGAACACGAAACAGATACCGATATCTGAGGTCAAGACCAAGGGTGGTAGTGTTGGTTATAACTCATTTTAAAAAGTCTGAGCTTATTAATGATAAATTAATTAAAAAACTCGTCTATACATAAATTATTGAAATGACGCTAATAAAGGTGTGTTCTATCTACATTATGAAATAAAACAAACATTTGCAGAAATAATATTAATTTCGTGACACAAGTGTTATTTGTAATCGAAATGATTACATTATAGTGTACACCCGCAGTTTAAAACAAATTTTATAAACGGAAATGAAGATTTTCCTGAAAGCCGACTATATAATTATAATATAAAATAATAATATATATTATTATATTATAATTATTGTCTCATACCAATGTAAGTTTCTGACAGTATAATTTTAATGTATTAATACTAATTTAAAAAAAAGCCAAGAAAGATGTAATCAAATCAAAGTATTTTTTTAGTGGCCTTAGGTTTTTTTCTTTAGACTTCTGTTTTCATAAGCAATGTTTTTGAATTCGCAAGTAAGCGGCTTTTTAAGTCTGATTTAAAGTTCGAAACATTCAAATCCATTAATCTTTCAATAGACTAGACAGTAGACACTGTAACTAAACTTGTTAAAAATTAAATTATTTCTTTCTAAACATTTTCGTCGAGAACTAGGACTTCTATCATAACATACGTTAACCATTTACATTTAATGGCATATACTGTATATAGCGAGTGAAATAATGTTATCCGTAGTTCCTATAATTTTCAACTCTCATTAATTACTATCCGTCAATATAGACATAACAATTTACTAAAAATAACAGTAATGTAACTGTTCGGAATAACGGACCAACGTCCTGTCTGATTTATTTGCTTATTAGGTGATTACTGATTGTGTCGATTAAAAATATGTACCTATGTAAACGTAATCGACTTAAATTGTAATCAGTAATTAAAACTTTAGCTTCTATAAACATCTACAGGTATCTAGCGACGTGCAGACAATTATTAACTTTCAACAAGTGCATTTATAAATTTATTATTAATGCGAAATACAGTTTTTTAAACTTCAATTACATTCTCAAAATTTATAATTATTGATTACCATATTAAAAGTCTATTTTATATAATGTAAGCGAGAAAATATATCGGATATTTTACATTTTGTAAGCGATACAAAATTATTTTCCCAGTCTTATTACCATTTAGAACAAAACACTCGCGTGGCAATAGTTTTTATAAACTGTATACGTCGATGACATCATACAAGGGAGGCCCCAAACTATCCAATTAGTAACTCAATTTCAATCATGTGAACATTACTATGGGATCGTACGCATGGAAATGTTTTTCAATTGTTTTTCTATATAGTTTTATGTTATGTATATTAAAAAATAAACGATTATAAGTACTCTATTTCGATTATCAAATAGCTTCATAAAAAAAAAACCGATTATACATCATTCAGCTATAGAGCTGAAGAATACGCGCTAATAAGAACTAAAGCTCCAATTAACTAGCGACTTTAAAACTAATTTTTGTTCCTCGTGATTTCAACATTGTGGTACAGATAGTTAGCGGCTTGATCCTTTGGCGTTGCGTAGATATGTGGAATCTCTCTTCTACCGCATTTACCATGGAGAGTGTTCAGAGAAGTTGTTCGGAATACCTGCAGCTGAGTTTCATTATCGGACGTCAAGGCAAAATACAAAATACCATCCGTATCACCTCGACGTCCGTCGCTCCACAACTGAGCATTTTTTAAGGCAATTTTAGCCGCACACCAACACCATGGAACCAGCTGCCCGCTAAAGTATTTCCGAACCAATTCGACTTAGATTCCTTCAAGAAAAGAGCGTACCATTTCTTAAAAGGCCGGCAACGCACTTGCGAGCCTCCAGGCAATGTGACTGTCTATGGGCGGCGGTATCACTTAACATCAGGTGAGCCTACTGCCCGTTTGCAAAAAAGTGGATAAAAGGGATACTACGCCTTTGGAAGTTACAGAGTAGGGGCGCTAGTTTCAAATAAACTTGGGTTTGAGAACACGCCAAATCTTCGTATATCGCGTTGTATAAATCAAACATAATAATATACAAATCCGAAACATGTCTCAAACATACAAGTCCCTATTAATATATTAAAAAATTAGGCGAAATAAATAGACTCAATTTCAACCTCATATAAAATTAAGATTGTATTGCGCATGCCCAAGCGAGGCTGTGACAATGACAGTCAGTTTTTTTATGAAATTACCTTAAGAACTCCTTATCTAGTCTAGCCAGGGTAACTGAGTGCCCTTATACGGCATGCGTCAGCGATACAAAGATTTATGGACGCTCCGTTTGGCGAACATCGCAAAAATATATTTAATTAATTGTGATATGTATGACATTATTATGACATTGATTGATGCTTGACATTATTTGTGTAGACAGACTGTTGGCCTAATCATATCATCCCTGAGGTTATAGGTTTGAACCCCGGCTGTGCACCAACGGACTTTTCTTTCTATTATCGTTTAATGTAAGGAATACAAATAGGATTGGAGGCCAAGACTTAGGGTTTACTACGACTATTATGATGAAGAATGTGATACAAAATGGCACGTGTTACTAAATAAAATTAGTAAAAATTTGTAATGAAGTAATAAAATAGGTCAAATATATCTAAGCAATTCTGTTCCCTATTTGTAGTCTATAGATACATTAGAAAATTCCATTTGTTATACATTCTTGCGGACAGTGTATCACGATATGAGTCAAGCAATATGGCATATGTTACAAATCAGTAAGTTTAAAGTGTATTCATGTGCCACATCATGCCATATATAGGTGTCAATCGTTTAAAATAGGTAAATAAGTGTTGTTACATAAGGACGCGGAGTGGTTTCCAATTTTCATTAACACACAATAATTAATGATAATTGTATGCGTATAATTGAGCATAAATTAAATGTCAGGACTTAGATGAAATGGGACGTAATAGTACAAATTAACTGTGTTACAAAAAATTAATCAGTGGCGCAACAAAGTTTTTTTGGTCTGGGTTTCAGATTTCTGTAACAGTTTCATGATATCTCTAATAGGCAAGTAGGTGATCAGCCTCTGTGCCCGACACACGCTGTCGAATTTTTGGGTCTAAGGCAAGCCGGTTTCTTCTCGATATTTTCCTTCATCGTACTAGCGAATTTTGAATGGGCACATAGAAAGAACGTCCATTGGTGTACAGCCGGACTCAAACCTACGACATCAGGAATGAGAGTTGCTCGCTGAAGCCACTAGGCCAACACAACACTTACAATATACTACACATATAATCTTTGGTAGAATTAATAGTAAACATTGCGAACGACCTTTGAACTTAGTTTGAACTCAACTGTTTTTAAAGCTCTCATTCCTGTGCATTTGTGAACATAATTACTGGCCCTCGACGTTTCTACGAAGTACCTGAACGGAGTAATTTTAAAGGCTGTATTTTTATGAGTTTCGTGCTTAAGTACGGCATATTAAATGTGGTATTTATGTAGCATTTATGTCCAAATGTGTAGGATTGCAGTAGGCAACAGAGATTCACTTCACAAGCTTGTAGTTAATGCTTTAATTATCTTTATATCAAAGGCGAAATGGTTTAGAGTCTAAGAGGCCTGTATAAATCTTGATGTTATACCCAGGACCATATATCATTGAGTTTTTCAAATTTTGATTAGTTTCTTTAATTTTGCCTTTACATTTACCTTAATACTAAATGTAAGCTTTAAAGTCATGTAGATGTCGCTAGGATCTGAGCTTGGAAAACATTCAGTTCAACTCTGTCAACTGGTGAAGTCAGAGGAAAATATTATATGTCTTACACGCACTGTCGAAACATGCCTTTAATAAAAAAGCATAGTCTAGAAACTTTTTACCGGATTAAAGTTAGATTACTCTAAATTTACAATTAGATTAACATGCTTCTGACTTTATCCGACGTGGTGCTTAAGCGTGCGTGGTCAGAGGACCACATTTAAAGAAAGTTTTGTCTTTAAGTATAAAGGCACGTCAAAACACGACCTTTTATAAAAAGCACACTCTAGTAAAAGCTAAAAGAATTTCTGTACAAACGAGAAACGCAGCTACCTGAGATAGAGAAAAGAAAATTATTTTGTTAGTTGCCTATCTTTTCTTAAAGAGTACCTGATCGCCTGAAACTAGTCTTCAACTTTTTGGGTCTAATGCACCGCATGCCTCATGCGGTGCCATGTCTGTAAGAAGTTTTTCTTTACAGTACGAACGAGTGTTTTATGCGCACATAGACAAAAAGTCCATTTGCGCACAGCTGGGGTCCGACCACCAGGGATGACCACGCGCTGAAGCCACTAGACGAACACTGCTTTTATACGAGTAGATACTTAAGATAAAAATCAAACTTACCAGCACGGAACACCTCCCCACAACCATCGCAGCGGCTAGCGAACTGAGCGTCGTAGCAGTTTCCACAGTAGATCTTATCGTGCTTGGAGCCGAACTGCTTGTCCACAAGAGACACACGGCACTTGGCGCAGAGGAAGCAGGCCTCGTGCCAGTGCTTGTCCTTGTACGACAGGTCCTGGAGAAATAACCAGACTTTATTATAGAAGAGAAAATGCGTGACAATGGACATATAATGTAGGGCGAAGGCTTTTGTGGTTTTAGGTTACAAAATATAGTGTTTAAATTGAGAAGTTTAGCCGTAAGATCTATGCTTTCAGTGGTCTGGGGCAACCACTTTGTCTGGGGCAACAAAAAAACAGATCGGTCTGATAAGCGGTCAGAGTAGGTGGAAGACCCATTTTATTCAAAACGCATTGTCATATTTAAGATCAGGGACATTGTCAATGCACCATGGTATATAAAAAATGAAAGTATCCACAAGGATCTTAATGTGGATACAGTATCGGTGCAAGTGCGGTATCTCGGACACTAAGACTGGTAATGAACATTGACTTAGTTTAAAATACTAGTATTATAGAAGATTAAGTCAACATTATATTACTTATTAGCCATAATAAAAGATTGTTACCCATCGCACTCTCTTTTGTGAACTTTATTGTAGGAAAAAATAAATATTTAAGATCAACTTTATAAAAAAGGTTACAAGAGACGGAGAGCAAAAATGGTAAAGGGTTAAAACAACTAACACAGTCATCCTAATATATGGTCTGAACAACCTTCATTTAAATAGAAATTAATTTACCAAGAACCATAAAAGTATGCAATCTTTATTGTTTTCAAAAAGTCTCTATGGAAATACAAAACAGCGTAGGATGTAACGATCGAATGAGAATCGTTTGTATTTGTTTAACGCCTACATACATGATCAGATACGTTCTTTAAATAGAATTACGCTAGATTTAGTTTAAATTTAATTGCTTTTTTAATACATGTGTCTTCACTGAGACATCATGGAACATTACGATCTAATTTAAGACTAATAAGTCATTTAAGTCTAACCTAATTTACTAATAAGAATATTTAATATAAAGTGTCCAATGTACTTAGTAACAAGGATTTTTTTGTTGATATCACAAAAACCGCTCGATTACCATTGGAGTGTGTAGGTACGTTCTATTTGCATTTCTCCGAATGGAAATATTGACAAGTGTAAAATTGGCAATGTAAACACATAAAACATTTGTACATTGTAATTAATCGGGCTATAGTCATATATAGTTGTCTAAACATTTATATTTACCTCTATAATAACGATTATTTTATACGCTGTAACAAGTGTTTCAGCGAATATTTCTATCAAACGTCAGTTGGTTTTCTTCTAAAATTTAAAATACTTTAACTTCGCCCGAGACTAGCCTCTAGTCGTATGTTTTAAAATAAAAGCGCTTGCGTGAGCGCATACACTTGAACGTTATCGCAGCGCCACTGCAACTTGACTGTCTTATTACATTTTAATAATCGACCAATGAAATCAAGAATAATTGTATACATAATCTCTATCTGCAGTCCGCAGCTCATGTCTGAGTGTCGTGGTCAGTAAGGATAGATCTAGAACGGACAATCTGTTTACACAGGTTTCTGTCCAGCGCCTAAAAGTCTTTCACTTGATCGGTCCATTTGGTTGGTGAACGGTCACGTGACTTGCTTTCTGTGTTACCAACCACGCTCAGTTTCTCCAGGTTCTCATCGCCTCTGAGCATTGTAATATGATAAAATTCGTTACGTATACAACTATACATAATAGACAAGTTAATATTAAATATTAGAAGAAATCGTCCCAACATTGTGTTTGATGAATGTGTTCAATGTTCATACTCCCCTCAATTCCATTTTCTATTATTAGAGTTTAAGAGGCATTTCTACTCGCGTCCAAAATGTCGTAATGTCAATAAAATATGGCCGTTTATTTTGGACGATTACGAAATACTTACTTCAATCATATATCTTAAAGAATCAGATGATATTCAAGGTTGGCATTAAAACTGTATCTGTCTAGAAATAGAACGAGATGTTCATTTAGAAAAAGTTCTTGCATTTAGTTTCGTAATTTTCAACAATGTTGCTAATGTTGTTGGTCATACAACACATTCACGATTTTAATATTAAATAGATTTATTATTTAACCTATCCTTTGTCAATAATAACAAGTAATTCACATTACAAAAACGCAGAAAAAATAAAATAAAATAAGAACACCTTTCATTTAACCAGATATTATTAGATAATTTGTAAATTAGATTGTTGCAAAAGCTGGTACAGTAGCTTTATTTAGAGTATTTAGTGTAGCAACGAGTAAACACCAAATAGCGGTGAAACGTCAGAACACATAAGTAATAACAATGCCGTGGTTGTTTGTATAATTTGACAGGAAAAGTCATTCGTTTGCGGTTTTGATATGTAGTGTTTGGCGTAGCTGCAGTATTCTTTATGTTGGCAACGTTCGGTCTCGTGCCGTGTGCAGAGGTGCGTATGAAGAATCTGGGCCGGCTGGAGTGACAATACTAAATTTGATCGTAACAAAGCAATGCCCGACACGGCTATTCTCGGGTACAAATTAATACTAGCGTTACAATTGTAATAGGATCCGGAACTTCTGCAATTTTTTATGTTCTGGGTTGAAAATTACATTTTCATTTAACCAACCTTGGAGTCGATACCGATGGTCTTGTTGCACTCCTCACAGCCGTTGGCGAAGGCGCTTTCGTAGCACTTGATGCAGAAAGGATGCTCATCTCTGAGCACGTAGCGTTGACCCGTGAGGGACTCGTCGCACTGCCAGCAGCAGAAGTGTCCGCTATGCCAGTCCTTGTTCATCGCCTTGGTGTATTCGCTACTGAAAATAAGCTGTAAAAAACAAAATATATCAATCACAACTCAATGCACGAAAATAGAACCACTACTTGCACCATTCGAAATTCAAGTTCACGGACAGTACATTGTTTACCGCTTAGTACATTTACATATTGTTATGGAGATTTTTTTATAGAAAGTGTGCGTAATTTGCTTATAATGTCTATTTAATAGAGGTTATCATGAGATATTTGTATATACCTTTAGTTAATCAGGGTATGTGAGGGTGGCCAAGGGAATATGAAATAGCTACTCCGGATGTGCATTGTTGACGTGGTCACTACAAACAAGTAAAGAACTTGCTAGAGGCACTCATAACACTGTCACACCGCACTTTGCACGCGGGTCAAGGTTTGGCCACCACAACACATACCCATCGTCGTTGACATTCGTGGTGGTGTTGGTCTGATCCAGCTCGGTGACTGTGACCTCACCATCCTTGGACTCCCTACGCTTAGAAGTCTTTTTGACCTTTCTGGTCTTCCGCTCGGTGGTGGTGTATTGGACTTGGACGTCTACGTCAGCCATGGCAGAAATCGGTGCTGCCTGTTTCTTGAAGAAGACGATATCACTGAACGCGGTCGCGACCCGAATTCGAATGGTACCAGTGGCTGAATCGCAGGAATAATTCCAGAATGTTTAGCGCCCGCGACGGTGGGGAGTTTGGGATTTAAATTTGGATGAGTGACGGAGAGGGCAGGTGCGCGGGCGGGCGTTTCCAAACGTCCGGAGATTCGAGCGTTCCCGAGCGATCGGTTACCCAAAGCTCAAGAGATCCGATGTCGGCAGTACTCTCAGATGCCTACTCGTAAAATGTAGGCCGAAACGGAGCTTTTAATGCAATCTCTTATCATTTGGCTTCATTTCAACTAACGCTATTCGGTAATTGGTTAACAATCAACGATTTATTATCGACAACCAGAAATAAACAATTTCACCGTCACAAGTGCTGAATTATAAGGCTATGATATCGATGTATTGATTGATTTCTGGCTGTTAGTTAAGGTTTTTTCAAGAGACGGCGATTTATAGACAGTTCTTCTACGTCGTAATAAAACATTCTTCTTAGTATCAATCACATTAAATCCAAGAAAGAAGATTAACGATCGGGAACGATCAAAGCGGTCAATTTATTATCGGTTTAATTTGTAAATAACTGTTTCAAGACTGATTTGCGGCACGATTATGTTTTCAAACGAAAATTGCTATTTTGGGTGTTGTTTTGATTACTAGTGCTAATGCCATGTTAAGTGCTATACCATTTGTATTGAAATATTTATTTTGTTAAACATTAAAACCCGATTCATAGGAAGATATGAATGGGATTTCAATAACGGTTTGTTTAGTATTGCCAGGCCATGTGTGAAGTATCACTTCACACTTGCAATATTAGTTACATAATGTTGCAAGTAAATGGGATATTTATTTATTATGGGCTTAGTCGGTTACGTACAGATTGTACAAATGTCTATCGTGTTGAGATTCTGGGGTCGGATCGAGGTGAATAAAAATATATTTTTATTTAGCATGCCTGCCCCTGGATATGCCAGGGGGTTTTTAAAGGGTACTTATTCAAGAATAAAGAATCCTAGAAAAACGCTTATTTCTATACAATTGGCTTAATATAAGCCTCAAATCCAACAAACAATCATAAGTAAATATAAACTCCAAAATGCTATAATATTCCAAGATAAAAGTTAGAAAAGTACAAAAAGCTCTAAAAATAAAGTATCAAAAAAAAATATATATATTTTGATCCATTATATCAAAAATATTATTGAATATATATGTACAGTCTGGATAAGCTATAGATTTAAATAAAGTGGTGTTAAAAATCAATTATAAACTATTACTTTAGATAATACCTGACAGAAGAGAGAAGAAAGATAGATTAACATCACCATATTTGGAAAGTTGGCATTTCTTAGCTTGTTAAGATATATTAATTAAAAGTATTGACCAGTTAATCCCTAATGCAAATAAATCCCTAAAGTAAATAGAAGAAGCCTATGGCCAGCTGTGGACTTGACAGGCTAGACGAACTAACGATTAGGGATTTTTGTACTTAATTGCAAATAAATTATTATTATTACTGACCGTGACGTGCGTTTGGAGTCAGTATTTTCTTAGCTATTTTAAATAAATAAAAGAAAAAAATCAGTGGCGCTACAACCTCTTTAGGTCTGGGCCTCAGGTTTCTGAATGAATTTTTAAATATAATAGACAAGTAGTGATCAGGCTCCAGTGGCTGACACACGCCGTCCACTTTTTGGGTCTAAGACATGGAGGCCTCCTTCCTCACGATGTTTTCCTACACCGTTCGAAACGTTAAATGCGCACATACAAAAAAAGTACATTGGTGCACAGCCGGGGGTCGGAGCTACGACCTCAGTCGCGGGCTGAAGCCACTAGGCCAACACTGCCAAATCAAATCAATAAAAAGGCAAGAAAATTTGCCAAAAAAATTTTTGAACGGCATTACAAGTTTACAAAAGTCATGAACATTTTAGCAGCCTTCATACACCAATGAAGGTCGTGGTCACTTCATTCATTCGATATTTTTACGATTCGCAAAGACACGAAACATCTGGGCGTAGGATGAAAGAGATTTTAGTAGTGCGGTGTAAAGGAAGCGATGACGTTTCACGAATTTTTTTTCTAATATTTTTGGATGTGTGACGTAAATGTAACAAAAGAACTTAGTGGAGCGTGTTTCTTTAATAGGTGTTGCCATTTATCAAATCAAAATGTTCAATTATTACAGTAAAATTTAAGTAACTTTTATTCGGTCAATTTGGATAAAATCGTTATATCGAAATTAAGGCTGCGGTCGTCTATAAAAACTAAGCAGTATTTTACATGTGTGTGCGTTCGTGAGGGTCGTGAATCCCTCAAAAGGGTGCCGCAAGCAAGGTAGCGAAAACTATAAGCTTTTCAGAATGTTATCTATGCATGTAGGTAAGTTCATCGCGCAATCAATTGATAGAGCAGTCGATACATCTTAATTCTAATTAAGTAGATTTCATAACAGAATATTAAAAAATCAAAGTGGGCGTCGCGAAATATTGTTTAATTTTATGGGGGTTTTTCTAAACCTTTCCCAATCACACTGGTGTAGAGTAAACGCGATACTATTACAATGACTAAATGCGAATGTAAAAATTAAATAACATTTATAATAAGAAAGTGATACTAAAAACTGTTTAAGTTATTAAGGGAATTATTAGTAAGCCTAGTGTTTTGCAAGAACTCAGTTTATTTGTATCAGGCGAGACGAAGCCTATTTGCTGTCCCTAAGGGCAAATTTTATGAAAAGACCCCTTTTAACAAAGGCGTGGGCGGGAGTGCCTTATACTGTCTCCGGAACGTTAGGTATTTTGATATATGTTCTCATAGTGAATTCGCAAAAATCACCCATGTTACGGTAATAATGTTGCACAATTAACGCATTAGCTAGTTGTATATTATAAATAAATGTGATTAAAAGAGCAATCAGAACTGCCAAACCATATCCCGTCATAAAACTTATTTTTTCTGGGTTTGAACAATGCGGTTTTAAGATGACTTGCTACTGTAAGCATGAAGTACAGGGTTGGAATCATGTTTATTTAAAATAATATTCAGAGAAATTCTACAATACGTCACATTTTTACGTCTATTTTTTATGTAATAGGAGGCAAACGGGCAGCAGGATCATGTTATAAGCAAGGCATGTCAGTTTCTTTACTATGTTCTCTTCTCTATACTGTCAAAAAAAGAATTGTTTATATAAGAAAAATCCATTGGTGCAAATAACCTCACATCGTGGTTGAGAATTGCCGGTATTAACACAACTTTTTAGTTTTATATAGAACTCAAACCATGATTGTAAAATTGCAATAATATAACATTTACTTTCCTTTATTAAACGTATTAGAAAAATACAAAAAAAAATTACGGTGATTCCATATGACATAACAATAAATATTCCATACTGTTTTTATTTTTAATGATTTTACACTCAGTACACTGATATATTATATATATATGTATATATATATTGGTACAAGAAAATAAAACAAAATTTTAATATGACAAGCAATTATAGGCAAATATAAACACAGAGATAAAAAATTGAACCAAAAAGGTTTGTACAAATTCTATAGATCTTATGTGCTATTTCATTTCCTTTAAACGTTCTTGGTGTGGTAATTTGTGTTTAAAAATTACTTTATAAACGTAAGATCCGGCCCTGTTAAATGTATTTATTACTACCACAGTAACTCAATATTATGTGTTACCAAAGAATACTATACCACACATTAAATAAACAGGTTATAAATGATTTATGTTTCTAAATAAATAATGTATTGTTTTGACTGAGTTTACAACCAAATGTATGTAATAATAATGTAAATTCTAATATAAATGGAAGTTGGCAAAGGTTTAATAACAAGTCTTAGATATAATCGTTGGTATACATATAAAATTTATCAATAACGGTTTAGTTATAGTCTAATATAATCTTTTTTCTGATAATTAAGTTTCTTCGTATCGATATGTAATGTAGAACGGCCGAACGAATTTAACTGAAGTGGGTCGAGGTTTCCCATAGATTATTCTTGGATTTCTTGCGCAATGTTTACTTTTACGAATTTTAAGTTCAGAGTCATCACCCCTATAACGTGGAGATTTCTGTAGTGTGAATTTTATAATTATAAGTCCATAATTAGTTTTGCGTACCTTTGCACTTTTTTAATCGTGTTGTTATAACATGAAACTAAATAACTTTATAAATTCGAATTCCTAGTTTTTAAGTTGTTCAAAATAACGATTTACTCCTACAACACGATTTCCTATAACGCGGTCCAGGTCTACCAGGTTATAGGGGAGATTACTGTACTTAAATGTATCGTACTTCGTTTATTATTATAGTGAATTTTGCTTATGGAAGCCAAACATTAAAGCCTAATACCAATTTCCAGTCTCAAAGGAAGGTGAACTACGTGGGATTTATAAAACAAACGCAAGGATAATTAAATAAAAATATATTTCAGTCATGCACATTTAAGCTTAACACAGCGTTCGTGCTTCGAAAGCTAATCAGCGATATTAGACCAGAAATCAACATCTTCTGATTCTTCATTTACCTCACTGTCTTCTGCCGTCTCTTTGATCTCATCTTTCTCTTCAAATGAACCTAATCTTGGAAGACTCTGATGCTTCACTTCCAATCTCTCCTCGCTACGATTGTTTGAAGTTTCATCAACGCTATTGAACTTCTCTTTTGACCGCGACCGACTTCTGGAATAAGAATGCGTCTCTAAATAAGGAGCGCTCCCAAAACCTGTGTAATTATTCTCTCTACTCATGCTTTTGAACTCTTCCTCCTCGAGAGACGTGAACACTTTCAGTTCCTCCTCGCGTGAGGCTCGCGACTCTTTCGATGAGTTCGAAGATGATGATTTACGTTTTCGAAAAGATCTCCTTCTACCACTCGGATCATTTCGTTGAAGTGGCTTGCACTTTATTCCATCTAGTGATCTTAAACAGATTTATACAATAATGAGTCATTGTTCCATGCATAGGGGTTTTAATGGTCTGTGGAGACAATGAAAGGAAAGCTACGTCACTACAGAGCATGACTGTGACATGACGGATGAGGTGCAGTATAAGGACACTTAATATTAACCTTAAATAGTTTTCGGTGTAAGCAACGTCTTCAATTTTATCGTCGTCGTGTGATTGAAAGTTTATTTCGGGTAATGGAGAAGTGCTCTTAGGTATGTACTCCCACGTTAACTTATCTTTATTGTCTTCGCCGTTGTGATTCTTATCTTCGGAATCATTCGTATCTGAAACGGTTTCAGAAGAAGTTGGTGATACCTTTTTACTTCCAACACTGAACGATTCCGCCGCCTGCGAGATTATAGTTTTCGTCTTAGTCGAATACCTTTCGGGTTTATAATCACCGTTTGCTCGGTTATCTTCAATAGAATCTTGGCCAAAGCTAGATATTTTTGTCGAGAACAATAAAGCTGTTGAATTAGTTTTGTCGCCGTAAAATTTAACAGCCGCTGTCTTAATGCATCCATCGTTATTTTCAGTTAAATGGAGGTATCCCTGACCGCATTCTATAGTCCAATCTCGATTTGCTGCCTTTCGGAGAAGTCTCGTATAGTATTCAACTAAGTCTTGAAAATTTGGCTCGGCTTCGGGGACGATTCCGCTTAATATGTGTCTAATACATTCTACGGCTTCGTTGAACCCAGCGTAGGTTATAATAACAGATAATAGGAGACCCATTGTCACTGGTCACTGGAGAGGTAGGGTGAAGATAGGGCTGGGATCGGATGCAGCGGTCTCTGGGGCAAGATATGAACTGAAATTAAAAGATTGCACTTGCCAAAGATTGTGTCCACATTTAGAATTGCGTTTGGCATTGTGACTAGATGTAGGAACGATTGTTTAGTTAAAATATTCGTCATGGCTTTTGCACAGCGAAATAATGCGTTCATATTATATAATATTATACAGTTCAATAAAGAAAATCGAAAATAACAAACATTTATTTTGAGTAATGAGAAATGTAATAAAGAATTTGTATGAGACTTGACATTGAAACTGTGTCTGGAAATAGTTTTCAATCCACTAAATCCAGCGTGAGTCATCGACCTCATGAGGATAAAAATCGTGTTACTTGCGCACGCGCCGAGCTCTCGAAATTTATTAAAAATGGCTTCCAAATTTTACGCAGTAAATATTAATTTTGTCATTGTGCCAGAAAATTATTACCATCAAAGTATTTAAAAACCAAAGGAGATATTGTTAATATTTTACGCGGGATATATCTATTATCATAAGATTTCTTTAGACTAATTAAGATAAAAATATTATTCGTTTTCGCAAATAGATTTATAGATTACTAGCAGACCGGCCAAGCGTTGCTGTGGCTAAGGTTTGTCTTATATTACATAGTATTAAACTATTCAAGGGAAACGGTAGGAGAACACCAGTCATAGGGACCACCATGCTTTTTTGGTGGTTATGCCATTAAATTGTAGCTTATATGAAACGTTGGTTCTTTCAACACAGCGCCATCTGTTACAATTGTGACTATCAAACAATAAACAAATATTTTGCAATACAATAATATTGCGGGTATAAATTGAGATGTTAGCTATCCTATCTTTTAAGTTTGATCAAACTGCACACGGTGTGCAAATTTGATTGAAATCGGTTCGGTAGTTCAGGAGTCCATAGCGGACAAAGAACGTGACACGTAATATATATATGTTAAAATATACAAAATATGGCTGTCTAAAATGTTTCGTCAGAGAAGAATTAGAAAAAGAAGTCTCAGTCTTTTAGCATAAACAATTAAACATGTTACAAAACATGTTAGCTACAATACTACTATATAAATATTAAACTTGGTCTAATTCCTCTTAGAACAGAAAATGCAAATGGTGCCCGCTGTACCTATATTATTTCGATTCAGAACGCAGTAACTACCGATACTAAGCAATCGTAAAATTTAAGGATCAAAACGAATTATTATTACTTGTACGGGGTTCCTGGGTCATCGGGTTTCTTTAAATAATACTACAATAGAATATAAGCGAAATAATGAAATGTTAATTGCTATGTAACGAATGAAAGCAATGTAACAGTTGAAGAGAGTCTAGTTATACTCTCGGGGCGTAACTCCGACGATTTAGGAATTCGCCACGCTTATAAAACTAAGCAAGCCTAAGTGTTCAAAATGTACAGCCTTGGCTCGTACATTACTTATTATAATTCCTAAATACTTATCACCTATAGTGATTTCATAGTGTCTTTTTAATATTCCTCTGTATTTAATACTTACGCCGACCATTGCGTTGTAAATTTCGTTTAAAATTAGCGGAGATGCAATTTGACGTCATTATTTCTGAGGAAGGCTGAATTAAAATATAACGTATCAATTATAATTAAACGTTTGACTGAAATTTAAAACAAGGGAGTGTAGTGCTGGAGATTTAAATATACTATAGTTTCATAACGTTGAATATAGTTAGTAAATTTTTTTATATTAAGCATAAAACAAATATTATTTATCTAGTTTATAAGGAATTTAAAATTTGTTATGTAGCCCTTCAGGCATCAAGGTAAAATCCCTTAGTGTTTTTTGTTGATGTTTTCTGTACTTCTATATTATAAATATTATGCAATTATTTAAAGGAAAAAATTTTTTTTTCATTTACTTTTTTTATTCTTAACCCATTAAAAGACCGCTCTAGCGATTTTTAAAAAATCTTTACAATGTATATTTAACCATAAATTGAAGAGCTTTCTAAAATGAAACTTGTTCGACCGCCTAGTAGTACTTACTGAAATCTGACGCAGAAAAAAATACTGAAATAGTTCAGTTATCTAAAGGCCGCTAGACAAATCACAGACATCGATTCAAACGCACCTAAACTAAACTCTAGGTAACTGATAAAATTGATCTAATGACGAGAAATTACTGATCAGCCAGTGTCAGTCAGTATGTTCTCGTAGGATTATATTTATCACGGCAGTCAAATAGCTATTAGCAGACGAGGTATGTATAAACAAGCTAATGTGAGTAATAATTATGATACATAATTACGTAATATGACAATAATGAGAAGCAAATGGTTTTTGATTTTAATTCAAGCGTTTCTTTGACTATATTTAGTATGTTGTATTTTGATTGTGTGTGTTTAATTTTATAATTATTCTTGTTTTCTTATTTATTATAAATCGTTTATTATCAAAGTCGGTATTTGATGATAGATACACGGGTAAATCTATATTATAATACTTTTGACGTTTTTTAATTAATAAACTTTGTTTTTTTTTGATCCAGAGAAAATAAAAAATTGCCTGCCATAATTAGTTGCGCATGTGACAAAAAAATCCACATAATTTTGTATGTTTTCTTTTTTTTTTAAATACAGAATTATTTATATTTTTTAAAGTTATATCAAACTCGTTTCCCACATGAATATATTATGTTCTAATATAATTTATGTGTATGTATAAATGTGTAAAATTTGAGATGTCATATTTTTTAATTAAAAAAAAAGAAAACATACAAAAAAATCCACATAATTTTGTATGTTTTCTTTTTTTTAAATACAGAATTATTTATATTTTTTAAAGTTATATCAAACTCGTTTCCCACATGAATATATTATGTTCTAATATAATTGATGTGTATGTATAAGTGTGTAAAATTTGAGATGTCATATTTTTTGTATAATTTTATGCATACACATTGTTTTAAATAAATATATACGTTTAACATTTTAGACTGTAATCAATTTCTTCCCGCGTGATTAAAACAGACAATAGTACAATAGCGAAGTTTTAACGATCCTCGCGAGGAATCATTCCTATGACCTTGGGATAAAGTGAAAGTTATCCTCCGCGTACGGAGTTAGCCACGCGCGTAACTCGATACGCGATGACGTCACGGGCGGGCCGTGCGCACGAGTGGACCGCAGTAAATCACACTGAACCATTGATTTACAATTTAGTTAGATTACTTAAAACTTCATTAGTAAAGAGTCAAACGTTTGTCGTTAAATAAAATATTTTATAAATTTTTTATCGTCGTAGTAATGTCGTAATAAAATATTCGTAACGAAAATCGTTATGTGTGTCAACAACGAAAATAACGGCAGAGAGCATTGAACGGCGGCTTTCAAGGAGACTATTATCAAGTTGCGTAGGAAAACAAATGTAGGTTATATGATGTGCCAAGAAACGCACGTTTTTATAGTAAAGCTGTGCTTAGGAAATTGAGTTTTTCATTCAAGAAACTTATCAATGATAGAGGAAGTTACGTACGTGATTGTTGTGTTGTATCACTGTTTTTAATTATTTGCTAACTGTTTTTCAAGGGACAACAAACAAACGGGTTACTTTGGATAAAGCGATAACCGCAACATATGACACCTGTACACACCTGGACACGCTGGGGGCTGGTGTTACCAACCTTTCAGATGGTGATGGTGGTCATGATGGTTTTCAATGGTACGATTTCTTGAAGTCCCCTTAGATAAAAGGTGCGCGGCAGAAATTGCCTTAAAAATCGCTATGTTTTAGAACGCCAGGCGTTGAGGTGGAATGGATGGAATCTCGTATTATGCCTCCAGGTCTGATGGAATTAGTCCTTCCCAGAATACCGGTAGGCGATGCTGAATTGTATTTTAGGAACATTGATATATTTATAAGTGCGAATTTAAGTTATATCAGGGAGACACTGCTTTACAAAAATTGTACTCAGAGACTGTGCGGAATGGATTTTCTTCCCCAAAATGTGGGCTTTGAGATCGTTGCGTTAATTTTTTTTTATGTTGACAACACTGTTTAAAGTAGTTCGACAGTACTTTATAGATAATATGAAATAAGAATTATGTTAGTTCCTATAACTGCCGGTTCTCTTTCCGTGCACACTCAGAAAAGTATTCTTTAAGTATTCACTCATAGTACGGGAAAAGAAACACTTTTATAAACAAAAACTGCTAAGTACTCAAAACTATAATCCCCTAGCTGTTGTTGATAAAACGAAATACCGTTTCATCATATCAACGGTAAATAGCTGTAAATATAAAATGCCTTTCATTAAAATGTTTTCCACTGGCCAATGTCGGTATGCGAAGTGACAAATTAATTACATATGTCATCACTCCAGCTTATTTCTGGAGTTGTTTACTTTTGGCTGAACCATCTTGGTTTTTATAGACTTGTTTATTTGATTGTATTAATTTTGTTGCACATATGTGATACTTTTAATAGAAGTATTTCCGAACCAAATTGACTTAGGGTCTTTCAAGAAAAGAACTTATCAATTCTTAAAAACCTGGCAACGCACTCGCGAGCCCTCTGGCATTGAGAGTGTCCATAACATAAGGTGCCCTTTGTCCCCTGTCCTATGCTTTGACTTAAAGTCCTATGGCCGTAGTAGAAAACCTGCCTGATCTTTCCAGGGAAGATACAATCACCACTCAATGCCTCAACGTGATTTTATTGCATTGAGCATAACTTATCCAGGACGTCAATGAACAAAAGCGGTGACAGAAGACACCCCTGCCTTACGCCAGAACTCACGAGAACGTCCTCTAATACAAGACCATTGTGGGTAACTTTACAAGTGTAATTCGTAAATTCCTATATCGTATTCGTAAATCGAAGGTTTTTAGGGACATATGAAGCCATTTTATGACATACTTATTACGATACTTTTTTTTCTTACACGATATTCGTATGCTTAAATTAAAATACCTTGAATAGTTTTTCATATTACAAAATAAGCAAATGCTAAAGCAATATGTTATTCGATGAACCCTACAAATTACAACTTAATCTCTCTTAATTAGAACAAATAATAAATAGACACTATGTGGAACCAATGTCTACTGTATTTCCGAACCAATTCGACTTAGGGTCCTTTGAGAAAAGAGCAACTCTTAAAAGGCCGGCAACGCACTTTTTTTGGATAAAGCTTGTCAACGCTCGGCACACTGATATATTGATAAAAGCACCACTATATATACGTACAATTTTTAATGTGACAAGCACTTATAGGCAAAAATGACATACACTAAGAGATAATACAATTATTAAACAAAATAATTAAAATTACAAAAACTAAACAAAAATCGATTTTAAAGTGTCAGGGGAGCAACTATGGATATCCACACCTAGGTCGTTTATCAGAATGCTCAATCTGGACATTGGTGAGCTTTGACTAAAACGCGTTCTTTGGAAAGGAGGGACAAATGGAATGATGAGATGCCTGGGGTATCTAGAGGCTTGGGAGCCTTTTGCCAATGCCAAGATGAGCCGCCTGCCCGTTTGCTTGGCTAAGTGCTACTTGCTTGCTGCTGTATTATAAAATTCAAAATTTAATTAAAATGCATAAAATCTAAACCTCTAAAGCCGCCAGTACAATTTGCCTGTTAAAATTAGTACTTCTATTAGCGCTTATAATGACCCAAGATTGTAATACGAATTAAACAAGACATCATAAAATAATATTCTGCATATTTTGTCTAGAGTGCCAATTTTTTAAACAAATGTATCGTTTTAGATTTTCCATGAAGTCATTGACTTGCGACGATGCCAAAATCCTACATAAAGCGATTGACAGGTTCTGCTAAAGTGCCAATCGATCAAGTTCGGGGCTAGAATGACCTGTGTTGACGCAGCGGCCATCATATCCAATTTATGACGATTCGTTCTTCATAACGCGGCTATAAGCTTTACATTTCTGTAATTAAAACCGGCTGGTTTCCTTATAATTATTTCCTTTTCTGTACGAAAAAGTCTTAAGCGTAGAGAGAAAAATTTGGTTAAAAATTCAAAAGCAACGTGTGACGTAAAAATTTAGACAGTGACGCTCATTTGTTATGTTCGGCATTTGTTTTGGTAAATCAATTCGATTTGGATGATTTTAACAGGATATGTCAAAAATTCACTAACAAAAGCTGTTTTGTAATCATTTGTATTAATAAACATACTCTAAGCATTTGTTTGTTCAAAAGCACAATGAGTTTCTGCCTTTCAATAAATTTAAGAAAAGCTGTGTGAAAAGGCTTACTATAAAGTCAACGATTGGCTACTTCTAATTAATTTGCGATATTTGTTTTAAATAAGTGTTGATTGATGATTTGCTGTTTTAAAAGAGTATCGATAGTTTTTTACGCCGGGTTTTTCTCTCGGCCTACACCCTGGTCTTTTTTTGCCGATGAGTAGGGATTCCTAAAAGCACAATAATATGGAATAAGTATTAGCTTATGTTCCATAATAAACATATTATTATTATTTTTTTATTAGCTTACTAGGACATACCCGTGAATGTGAATCTAGCACACTATTGGTTTTAAATTTATTAATAATTTCCATTATAAATACGATTGTATCGGTGAATTTAGAACTTATCTCGCGCAGTATATCAAATGCTGCAACGACCTTTGCAGAGTAGTGTAAAAAAATATTATAGTATATTTTTTATGTACACCTTTGGTTAAAATCTTTTAATTATAATAAAGTACAAAATAACTGTAGCGGACTAAGAGTTGGTTTACATTTAGGCATTTTGGTGCAATGTCAAATATAACGGATGAGAATTGAGAACTCATAATTTATTACGTTATAAAGAACGTAAACGTAACGCAAAGTTTGTTTAAAACCGTTATTTTTATTATATTAATATTAATAATGACATCAAGATGATGTTTACCACGTGCAAACATAACCTCTAGCGGCAAGTAGCAAAACTATAAAAATATGTTTGTATACATAGATACATTATATAGTATTATAAGCCTTCTCTTTAGTTTTAAAAAAAAGATAAAAAGTACCATTATTTTTATAAATTGGACACTTTGTAATTGCAGAAATGCGCCATCTATGAGGGAGTAGATAAAACAAATCTTTCATATTTTTTGTACTTATGTAAAATCAGTATTACGAGTATAACACTTCTATTAATTATTTAATCTATAGGAAATAGGTAAATATAGCAAATACAACAAGTCTTGGACTCAAAATAAATGACATACATAGATATATAAGTATCACCTACTTTTAGACATAAAAAAAATGCAATTTGATGCCAAGTACAAACATTTGTCCAGCTACTAGTTTATTATTATGTATGAGAAAACAACAAAGTGACCGCCATGCATGTAGTAATTAGTCAGATATTATAATTAAATATTTATTCATACATACTGATCGCGCGGTTATCCTTAAAAACAAATAAATAGAGTATTTTATAACAAATTGTTAACAACTTGATTTGACCTACCTGCGCACTATTAAATTACGGTTCTACTTACAAAAACACACACTCAGAAGGCACTAGTAAAACTTTGTAACTTTTGGTCTGGAGACGCGTTCACATTCGTAGTTCGAACAGTATTAAACCAGCAAGCATTAGTTCGCGTGTTAATTATATTTATATTTTGCAACGACAACTTCAAAGAGATCGAACGCTATTTAGAGAATCGATCTTAGATCGCTTCCGCGGTGCGGAAAATCGATTTTTAGAGTAAGATGTCTTGTCCAATTATACTGACATTTAAAATATGCACGACATAAAATTGTTGATTCTTAATTTTCTGTTTGAATGTCTGTTATAGATGTCAATACACAATCAAGTTATACGACTACTATTCATTTCTTTGATTTGCAATATCAGCATGTTATAATATCTATACAATTACAGAATATAAAAGCACACGGAATACACAAATGTGTTTAATATGTGTCTATGATTGTGTTTATTTAAACACAAACATAACACAGTTGACGATTAGTATATAAAGACATTAATTCCAAAGAAATATACAGATTTACTAAAATATTTTTCTACTATAATATAAACCTATCAACGACTAAATTATAAGATGCATTGTTCAATGAGTTCAGTGTAAATGAGAGTTAGAACAAAGCTTAGCCATTTCAACAAAAAACACAAGATTTTTTAAGCGTCTTATAGACA